TGGACTAAATATGTATCTATGCATGTGTTTGACTATGGACAATAATACTTGTTACGTGTGTATTTTACGATGTATGGTATCGTTTTCAAAAACATTAACACTAGACTGATGGTTAGGTTGAACAATATGGAACATATACTTGAGTGCAGAACATTTGATATTATACAAATGGATCATGACATGTTAGTTTGCGAGAAAGCTTTATTGTGTCTTTAGTTTGATATTAAATGTTTACAAGAATATAATAAGCCACTTATTCTAACGTTATGCAATTTTATTATTTGGTATTTAATGGTTGTACTAATTATTTTGTGTTTAATAGTAAACATTAACGATGTGTTTTATATTAAATGTGTATGATACATAATATTCCTAAACAAGTCAATATTCATAAATATAGAAATAATTGTTGCTTAATAAAAGTCATTACATATACCCAAAAGGGCAAAAGATGATTACATTAAATAATACAAAAAAAAATCATAAGAAACAAGAAAGCGTTAATTGTTATGATTTATGTGTGATTCAAATGTCATGGTTGTTTTGTTTGTTCATATTTTGAATCTGCATTATCAATAGTGTCACTTTCATCTCAAGTTCCAACTTCTTAACCTTAAGATTTTGAAGTTGTGCATCCAGAATATTGACGCTATGGTAATTGAAATCCTTAATTTTCTTTTCAAACACACAAAACAAACGGCAAATCAAAATTAGTGCAACATCTTCCACTACTTCACATTCATCGATGGAAATTTTGCCAAGCAAACATAAGTCTCATATTCTTTTGTGCACAATGTCCCTATAAATTATATTTGTTATTTTCACTAAGTTTAGTTTATGTTAAAATGTAATTTCTTCTACCTTTATGACTTTGAGTTCATTTATTACATCGAGATTATTCAATTTTATATTATAATATTTGTGATGGTATACAAGAGAATGGGTGTCACATTATACATCTCTCAAAATTTTCTATGGCAATATGGTATAAAAATATTTTCCATCAAAATGCCACACAAAATACTTTTAAGTATTCAAATGCTACACAATCATATTTATTCATTAGCATGCCACAATTTTTCTATATAGTGAGAAGTGGAGTGTAATAGACCTGACTTCTCAATGTGATTTTATTTTTACTTTAAATTTTATTTTGTAACAATGTATTTTTGATATATACAAATATATATATAACAATAAATAAATAATAAATTAAAATAAAATCATTTATAAAATAGTAAATACATAAATGTAAATATTTTATTAATTTTTAAAAAACAAATCATTGCAAAAAAAATTATAAGAAATTGTAGACAATCATTTTTTTACTTACTTCAATTTTTTAAACTTGTTGCAAAGGTTAATTTCTAAGTAATTTGCTTAATGTGTATCATTTTTTTTTTCAAAAATGATTAATACTCATAATTTTTATGGTAGTAAATTCAATATAATCAATTTCACGTCTTCAATTAGTTTTAAAAAGTCTTCATATTGATGTCCAAAATTACATTAAAAAAAAGTGCAATACTAAAAACTATTCACTTGAATCAAATTTCATTCCTCTCTCCGATTTACAAATAACAAAAAAAAACTTAACATATATAGTGTTTCATTAGCATTATTGTTTGACGAAGATCAGTCGTTGGAATATAACAAAGATCAATGATGTCATGTTTAGAAAATGCGAAGAAATTCTAAAGGTCGCCCAAAATCTACTTATATATATACTGAGATGGATCTCACACAAAAGAATATAGTGTGTGTTTGATTTAGAGTTACATTCAACGTAACCCAAAAGCATCACATTAGTTGCTTTGATATTTTTGTATTGGAAAGATGAAATAGTCCATTTAACACTAGTTAAACGGTTTTCCAAACACGCTTATAGTGCATACATTAATCATTCTCGCCAATAACCATTGCACAAACCTATTTAGCTATGCCTTCCATTTGCACCTTTTACTATTGCAATATCCATGAAAGACTCAAGGTACACAAAAAATGTGCAAGCTCGCTTTGGGAAAACACTTCAACCAAACCAGGTGCTTGATGTGGTTGTTTTTTCAAAATTTGTTATAATTTAATGTTAATCAAACAAATGTATACATCGTCTATATGTAACGTTGTTGAGGAAACAGTTAAAATGTCAACAAGTTTATTCACTACATGGAAACATGATTTGGAAAACACTTTGTTCATAATGGATCAATTTGGACAACAATTTGCATGTGACCTCGAGGTCAACAAGGAGACAAATAATTTCACCGGATACTTCATCAATGGCATCAAAGTTGTCATCAAAAAGCCTTGTAATAAGAACAAATGTTACGCCATATTCCATTATGTTGGCGAAGGAAGGTTTTATACTCGTTTTGATCCACTACAAGACTCTTTAAGCACAATTTAAGCAGTCAAATATGACATTGTTATATGTGACAGACCATCAAATTCACGTGCAACTACGGATCCTATTATTTCATGGCAAAAGCCACTAACAAAAAGCACAGTTAATCATAGTAAGCACAGTTAATCATAGTGCATCTTTGGTATGCTAAATTGCATTCAAAGTTATGTTTTCATGTTCAAAGTCATGTCTTACTATGTGAACGGATATGAACCAACAACTACCCCAGGTTGTGCACCTCACTTTTAGGAAAAATTCATTCCACCATGTCTTCATCAGTTATGCATGTCCATGTTTATTAACATAACTAAAAAAATTATTAACCATATTCAAATTACAAATTTTTATTATTAATATTGGATTATGGTTAATAAATGACTATTTTTCTTTCAATGACATTAAGTTTATCTATCAAATATATGTTGCAATCTTGTATGGTCTATAGACAATTCCAACATTTGTTTGCAACGACGAATTCACACATCATCCTAATCGTGTAGCAATCATATTAATCAATGGGAAACAAACTAAATGGAGTATCCAGTGGTGTCCAAATCAAAGGAAATTTGGAAATGGATGATATGAATTTTGGAGGTTTACAAACTTAATCATTAACGATACTAGGTTTGCTTTAGGTTGGACAAGAAAATGATTTTTTAGGGAGAACATGGGCAACATATCCAACAATCAAAGTATCAAAGCAAACAACTTTATTTATAATATGAATTAAAGTAGAATTTAGAATAATTATATACTAAAGGTATGTTCCATAATGACATTGCAGAAACTAATCTATTAATTAATATTTTCAACTATATAAAAATCGTTTCCAATATTTTAATATAAAGTCATGTTAGTTATTTTTTGATTTAACGAAGTTGAATACATTTTTGTACTAATAATAATGTCTATAAATTATTTAACAAGTTCACTATAAAAAAAATTTATTTATTTAATATCAGGACAAATTATATGTCAAATATGATTGACTAATGATAATGACACATTCAAAATTGACATGTTGTCATAGATGTGGTTTAAAATTTATTTAATTATTTACAAAAGAATACGGACCTTATTTTGTACATTCAAATCGACACACAACTCGAGGTTAACATTCAAATCCTTTTAGAATTACTAAACCTAACAAGTGGCGACAAGATTTTCATATCTATCGATTATTATGTATTTTGTGATAAAAACGGCTAACATAATGAAATATATACAAACCCTAAAAATTGAATTCTTTCAACACTAAATTATTTTCAACATCATTTATTAATGATAAATAAATAAAAATTTAAAAAAAAATTGTACGTATAAAACATCATATATTTAATTATTTATCAATAATAATGTCATCATGGTCAAAAAAAATTTTTTAAAAAAACCATACTTTCATTTGAAGTGACTAAACTAATAAATTAATAATTTATTTTTTATAATTGGAATTAAAAGTTCAAATAATATATTATTGTTTTCAACTTTTGTTCATAATTTTCTTAATAAAAAAGCAAGTAAACTTATCGCATTAAATGCAGACACTAGTTTAACATACGCACACACGGAAAAACTCATATTATATGTTGTTCCATTTTCCCCAATCAAAATTTGTTTGCCAATTACTTCTTTGTTTCCTTGATGGAAGAAAAATGGAATCATTGGCTAGCGTCCTCAATAATCTCAAATCCAAGTAAGCATCAAGGTCAAAAATGTTTTTTACATTTATTATACATTAACCTTTGACCTCATTGATGCGTCTGAATTTTCTTTTCAATGTAATGCATTGGATAATACTAACTCTATGAGAATGCAACAACTCATGCCTCTTGAATTAGGGTCCAACACTAATGATAAAGTAATAGTTCTTCATATATCAACTGAATCCCTTAAAGTTCTGTAAAGCTTACATGAAAATAATATTGACATTTAAACATCGACGGCAATATTTGTTTAATGTCATTCTTCAGCAAGTCCCCTATGATGCATTTGTTCGTTTGGAAAAAAAAGGTTAAACAAAGCAAAAAGATTAAACACTTCATATTGAACTAAGTTGAATGTTTTTGAAACAATAATCAATCAGTATATTTCTTAGACAACAAGGAAGCAAGTAGATGAAATAGATGAAAAATGTCACCTAATGATGTGGAAAATTGTAAAACTTGAAGGACAGTTTGATATTGGATCAAGGACTATTGTAAATAAATGTAGCCCATCAAGGATAAGTGTTAAGCATTAAACATTAACCCCTAAACCTCCCATGGGTTCTTCCCAAACTACTCCTAAGCGAGTATATATGAGGAAGTTTGGGGTATTCTTTATTTGGTCAAAATTAACTGCTTGTAATGAATTATAATTTTATGTGACTAATACAAATTAGACAAATCCACAGGAATCAGACCCTTCATCAGAATTGGTCGATCGAAACTTAGTTTTACACCAAATAACAAACCACAATCACAAAAAACACCTTATTTGGACACTAATGACCATCAATCCATTGACATAACTGCAAACCATGATACATCAAATGACACCGTAAATGATTTATTGGATGATAAAAATGTTCAAGAGCTACACTTGTTAGAACATGTTATGCCACCAGTAAAATATATCACATTCATATTTCATTTTTAAGTTGCACACACATTTATATTTATGTGTCTAAAACTACTCCTCCCATGAATTGTATGAAAGGAAAAGCATTATACAATATGAATAGTATGAACTTCCCAAATTGGGTATGGTCATAAATAGGTGCTGGAAAGTTATCTCATGAAATCATATCAATATATCATCTTTTGCACTTCTATCTAGAATATACATTCAACAAATGTTATAAAATCTCATGCTTTTTTGTAACAATTGATCTCGTCTCCCCCACTAGGCTTCTAGGTACAGTCTTCCCATAGCCAAATACTACTATACCCACAAAATTTGGAATTCAATCAAAGTGATAAAACCGCAGAACATATTTTATTGTCATCTTCCAAAATAATTGCAGCCGAAATTCACCAATCAATAAGCAGCAGCAGCAGCCCAGAAGAGAGTCATTTCTTTTCAAGAATTTGTTGTATAATTCACTCAAAATTTACAGATCGCGACCTCCACTGTGTTAAGAGGAGGTTTCAAGAACAAAAAGCAACTCAGTAGACTTTGATATGTTACTCGAGGGTCTGGGGTTGAAATGTGCTGATTCTTTCTTTACCTTGGTGGCATACTGGGGGAAACAGCTTCATGACCCATCATAGCAGCTGTGTAAGACTTTGGTGACAACAAATACAAGTCCACTGTAAATCCAATCAAAGAAGTTTGCTGGTTCTCCGTCTTGAAGGTCCACCAGGAAAGAGCTTCATAATCCATCCCAACACCCTTTCCACAACCTAGTACCACAGAAAGAAATATCAATTCCCATTTTTTAATATCAAGTTTTCTAGTCCTTATAATCTCAATAACCATTACTAGAAGTGCATGTTTGGTTTCCAGTTCAAAAACTCCAAACCCACGTTGAATGCAAAAGACAAATTTTTGCTTCTGAGTTTGGTGCATTGGAATGCATAAATTTTCATTTGCATGCAAACGGATTCCCAAACACACTAAATAGTTTTTCAATTTTCAGCATAGACCAACTACTTCCACCTATGTTTATCAAGATACTTGCACTCCTCACAGGTGGTGAAGCTTTGAATTAAAAAATAAAAGCCCGGAATTCATAAAGTCTTCAGAAAAACGTGAGGATAAATGATGCACGCTAGACATGCAGACAATAACAAGTTTTCATAATTACCAAACTATAGTAAACTGAACATAGGTTACCTCATCACCCTCATCTGCATATTGGGTGTTCTCATACGATGCACGAGAATCTGGTTGTTTAGCAGAAATATTTTCATTGATCATGCTTTGAGCAGTCAAAAGCTCTAATCTTTGTGTCTGGACCTCTAGTTTTCGGGACAACTCCTTATTTATTTCCTTCAATCAGGAAAAGAAATTCTACATGGTTAGACTAAGATACAACCATAATGCCAAAATAGACCAGAATGTGACAAACTTATGCGAGAAAATTTTCTAAATTTTAACTACGAATTTTGAGAAGCTGCATGTCTACCCACGTATTTAGTGGCAATACATTTTTGCCAACAATTTACAGGATTTTAGATACAAAAGATTGATGTGATTGATATGGGGTGTAAAATCCAAAACACAAGAATGTAATTCATACAAATAATTATATCCAGTTTAGACTGATAACATTAAGGCTACTAACCTTATTTGGAAAATGTAACCAAAAAGCAAAAGAAGAAATGAATTAAGAAACAACCAACTAAGAAAGCCTTTAACTATTTATTCCGTTGAGAAAAAAAGAATTTAGTTTGGTTTTCGCATTTTTTATTTTTTTAAAATGGTTCCTATAACCACTTTGTGTCATGCATTGGGCTATAGTTATACCACGTCCACAACTATTTCATCTAACATGGTTAGATGCATGCCATATAGTTAAGTAATGATAACTGACAAGGATTATTTTAAAAGAAAATTAAAATTTGCAAGAACACACAAAATAATTGAAAGGCCAAAATTAAATGAAGCGATATACTAAGACAAAATATATTTTAACCCTAAAAAATGTTGGGAAAAATAGCATGAAGTATTTAAGTAGTCGCACAGCACCCGTTTATCATTAGCCAGATAATGATATCCATTTAGTCAATTAAGGGTCTCTCTCTTTGTCTACATATAAATATACATATACATATACATATATATATATATAAATATATATATATATAAAAGAAAGGATTCACTTCCTCCAATAGTAAATTTTGGTAAACTTACTTCACTCGATAATTTATTCTCTATCAAATTTCAACAACCTAACCATTAAATTAAAAATTCTTAATGTATAAATCAAATCTACAAATTTATAAAAAAATTTAAAAATCATATGATACTTCGTTATATAAATTTAAATCAACATATAAAATGTTTTAATGATTTTACCCATCAATTTGAATTAATGAAACGGTGTATCAAAAAGTTTTCAAATTTATTAAAAATTTGTATACTTGATTTAAGCATTAAAAAATTTAATTTAGTAGTTGAATCGGTGAAATTTGATGTTGAACATGAATTATTGGATAGAATAAGTCTTTTATATATATATAT